GACCGACAGGTGCCACCCTCGGGGCGCACGTGGAAAACAAAGAGCGGGGTAGTTGCTCAGAAAATCTCCAGGACCGCAGTCGGCTTCCCGGCTTCCGCCTTGTGCTTGTTGAAAAGTTCCACCAAGGCGTCCAAATACTTGCCGTGCCAATGGTCCACCTCGCGCCCCACTCGACTTCAGTCTTGCAGACCCTTGCATGCTGACATTGCGCAAGCCAAAGGTTACACAGCATAACCATGTGACAGGGCTGCCTGAGGCAAAAAGCAAAATCCTTGGATTCCAAACAAGGCATCGAGGTCTTTTTGCGCGGGGGCATGGAGCTCTCACGTTCCCGGCCTCCTCCTGGCTCGGGTTCGGAATCTTGGGCAGCTCCACCGCCGGGCCAACGAAGGTCAGCAGCTGCAGGTCCCTCCTGGCAGTCACGAGCCGGGGGAAACGTTGTGCCAAACGTTTCTCAAAGTTGGGTGTCCATAGTGGTTAAACCCCAGGGCCTCATGGGCCTCCATGTCGAGCAACTCCCCCAAAACAAATTGTCAGCGGTTGAACCGCCGTACTCCCAAGCTCTTCCGCGAATCTCCTGGGGAGCAGCGGACACCAGGGCAGCCCCCAAAAGATCACCGTGGGGATGCCCTTCCGATTCAGCCAGAACCGGAGCTGCTCGAAGCCTCCGACCGTGCGGTAGGTCTCGCTCTCACCGAAAGTGTACACCGGGTGCAGGCCTGAAGTGCCACCCCTTCCCCCCCCCTCCGCGGGCCCCTCGCCCTTAGAAGGCATGGCTACACATCAGACACATGCCCATGCTAGGATGGGCACGCCAACGCTCTTGCAAGCCAAGCCGTCAATGCAGGCAAGTGCGAAGGGTTAACCTTTTCGTGAGCATCAGCCTTACAAACATACCAAAACCGCATGACATGAGCCAGGGGGCGGTATCCATACCGCAGGCAGTGCTTCACGAAGCCCTTGCGGCGCTTCAACGCGACGCGCTCCTTGCCGTAGGTGAAGGCGGTGGCCTCTTGGTAGGCCCCGGGGATCCTGGGCAATACCGTCAACATCAAAAGACATGAGGGACCCAGCCGCAAACTGAGCCGCGCTCGAAACGAAAGACTCATCCACCAACTCTCGTGGCACAATGACCTACTGTAGATGCACAAAATCGTGCGCCAGTTCGGATGGATGAGGCCGTTAAAAAACTGGGACAAACCACCTACCAACTTGAAAAACCGGGTGAACGAAGAGTAGCACGTGAGGAATGGCATGCACGCCATGCGGCGGCACAAGGGGAAGGTGGATGATGAACATTTAGAGCAACCACCACTAAATTCATCTTCCAAATTGTTAGTGCTTAAGCCATACCATGCCTTGAGGGACATCTGACTGAGCCAACCTCTGTGCAAAACTAGATGTGAATTTGTTCACCTTGAGCCCAACTTCTTAAAAGGGCAGGTTTACCGCCTTGTCGCGTTCTGTAGCCGATCTCTGTGGGTTCCCCACCTGTCCAGTTTTCAAGCACAAGTTTACGCTCGTTAGCCTTTGTATGCCAGCGATTCCCCACCTGTCCAGTTTGCGGAGCAGTTGTGCTCTTCAGCCTTTCTATGCCATGAGTTCCCCGCCTGTCCGGCTTTCGCGCACTTGTGCCCCTTAGCCTTTCTATGCCATGGGTTCCCCATTACAGACTGTCCCAGATATGGAAGGGCCAGCTTCACCCGGACGAAAGCAAAGAAGAGCCAGCCAGGAAGACAATCGGCCATCTCGGCCTTGCAAGGCAGGAAGTGCATCACTCCAGAACCCCATCTCACCTCGGAATTCATTTTGAACAACCATCTCGCCTTGGGATTCATGTTGAACACATTCCCGCGTCCGGCAAGCCCTTTCCCCAACATGTTGACTCTGAAAAAAGCCGGGTCCAAACGCGGACCAGGGGGAATCGAACCCTTCCCCGCGTCCCGTGTTCAATTATTTACCAATATTTTCATGCCGAAAGGCCCCCCCAATGATTGATATATCACAGCGGTTGGGAAGTTGCTGCCCCTACACTTGCTAAAGCAAGAAAGAACTCCAGGTTATCTATCGCTACCTTTTGAAATTTTGTGACTGGTGCAGGATGTCTGTCACGGTAATACAGTAAGCATGCCATAAACGAACAAACCAATGCCTTGTCAAGACTCATTGCGAGCGACTCTCCCTGCTCCATGACCTTTTGTAGGGAACCCGCGTGCGTGTCCCGGAAGCCACCCTGCGGCCCTTCGAAGGAGTCCAGGAAGAACTTCGCCAGCAAGCCCTTGTTCCTGAGTCAGTTCTTAGGCGGCCTTTTTGGTATCCCCTTTGTTCTGGGTCGTCGCTATGCATCCCCTGCGCTGTTCCTGGGGTTAGCGGATTCCAGTCATTTTCCTGCTCCTCCCTGTTTGGCATTCCCTTAAGGTGGCACAAGGCGGGTCCAAAGAAGGGTCAACTTGTTCAACAACCCCCGCCTCAGGGTGGGGTCGATCATGTAGAAGCACCGCCCCACGACATCATGAAACCTCCGGCCCCAGCAAACGTTGGAAATCCATCCAATGGACAGCACGCCGTGGGGGTGGCAGGCAAAAAAGCTGTTGCCGTGCTGAATGCTGTCCAGCGCACCGCGCAGCTCGCTGCGAGCATGGTACCCGGAGTAGTGTTGGTACTGAAAGTCTAAAAGCTGCCTGTTCGACTCACACACGCGTTTGCTGCCATTTAATGCGGTCATCCATGTCGCCACTGCGGCCAGGACAAAGGGCATTGCCCCTTGGGCCGCGTAGGCGGAAGAGAAGGACACCACGAGCACTGAGACTGCAGCGAAGCGCTGATCAACCTGCACCAGAACGGAAAACATCAAGACTGCTGTCAAGATGGCGCAGGGCCAGCCCATGTGTGGCTGCAAGCATCCGCCCAGGGCAACGAGCAGGAGCGGGATGGACACCACCCAACTGATCCCGGAAATGATGAAAAGGAAGGCACATTTCCACCACGCAGGCCGGTACAAGGGCTTGCCCTCGCTGACCACCAGCCGTTTGTTGCTCATGCTGGGCTGCTAGGCGCTAGCGCCGATCAAGAGGCCTACAAGAAAAGGAAAGCAAACTTGCTCCTGGCCGTCTCACGTTTTGCTGACTTGCTCATTTACCTGTCATTCTGGCTTCAACTTGGGCGCGAAGGACTCTAGCTGAGAAAGCTTGAGCTCAACTCGCGGCAGCTCGCCCGTAGAGCCACGACAAGCCAACAACTCTTGACCGCCAACACCCTGAGCTCCCCGCCTTCACCTTACCTGCCCCTCGCATCCCGACTGGGCTGCGCACTCCAATGGCCAACGAAGCGGGGTCCACTTTCACCTCGGCGCGACTGGGACGGGAGCAGCTGGCTGCTAACATCCATGCTGCATGACATGGCATAACGTGTGGCACGCGTTCTTCGAACCTGGCAAAGGGATGGCAACGGATCATGGCAGGCTGCCCATGCTGCCGCCCAAGCAAGGTTTCTTCTAACACGTTGATTGCACAACAAGGGTCACCTTGCAATCGCGCCACTATCCTATAGATGAAACGCGTCAGTGGCTTCCATGTCAAGCCACCCAACAAAACTGACTGTTTGCTACAGGCGTGTGCATCCGCTAAGGGAAGGCATTGACAAACTGACAACCACATGGGGAGCATATGGAGCATGCTTCAAGCCAAGGGGCGCTTGACATCCTGATGTGGCAGACCAGTCGCAAATCAAGCTGAGCCCTCTGGCTTGAGGCGCGAAAATGCTGGCAATTCAGAGCCCTCCAAGCGAAACATTCCAAATTGCTGTTTGTCTGCCTGAGATTGGATGATCTTCCTAAAGTTCTTCTGACCCTATCGCTTCCAGCTGCCGTTGCAGCTAATGCCGGCCCGATTAGCCAAAGGGTAGCATATACAATATAGCTGTTTACCAAGTTATTCTCTACCCCCGAATTGAAACCGGGCACCTATTGCAATACGGTGTCTTGCTCGGATAAAAATGGGACATGCCCGGAGACAAAGAGTGTTGCAAGTGATTTCCTTACACATCCTGTATACACAAGCGCTCAGCCGACAGATTTCCAAGCAGGTAGTGCATGGCCACCCCCAAAAAAAAACTCACTCAGTAGTAGAAATGAAACAGAGGTACTCAATTGTGCAAGCGTCTCTTTGCCCGGCAATTGTTCAAAGGGAGTAGCCGTGGCCACCCAAATGCTCAATAAGTGAAATCAAAGGGTACCCAATCGTGCAACCGTTTTCCAGGCAGAAAAAAATACTAAAGCAATACAAACCAATACTAAGCTATGACTATAGCAAAGCCACTACGAAGGCAGCACAAAGCAATACTAAACCAAATCTAAACAGTACTGGGCCAGCTCACAAGAATATTCAAAGAATTCAAAACCTGTTCGAGGCCCTATTGCTAGGCAGAGAGGACCGAAGAGGACCGAAGCAATACTATGCCAATACTAACCTAATACCAACCAATACTAAGCCAGCACGAATTACTAAGCCAGTACTAAAGCAGCACAAAGCAGTGCTAAACCAATGCTACACCAATACTAGCCAATACTAAGTTCAGTTCTTTTGTCAATGTAGGCAAACATGCTAGCTTCGAGGCTGCCAACTTGTTGTTTCAGGACATTCCACTGCCTGATCAAGAAAAGTTGCTGCTCCAACTGCATCATGCTTGGCTTTGCTCACTCTTGATGATTGGGAGCTGTCCCTGTTAAGTGTTGGGAAGTCGCACACATGCCCTCGCCTGAGGAGCTGGGTGATCAATCCATATTGCCAGGCGGTGCGTCTCTTACAAAAAAGTGCTTATACACATCCCTACCGGCTCCAGCTCCCCGAGAAATTAACCCGACCTTCTTCATACATTTGTTTAGCCACATTCTAAATCATTCATAGCTCGACTAAGCATCTGACCCATTGACATGCCCCACCCGTCACCATCTCGCAATTGAATCACTCCCCCCTGGCAGGCCGATGTTCAAGCCCCAAGGCCTCCAAAATCTCCGTCATGATGTCATTGACAAGGCCTCTGGGAAGGAGCGGTGAGACAGCCAGAATCTGCCTTCCCGTGGCCAGGACAACTGTGAGAGAATGAGCTTCGGAATGGCAAACAGCACCTTCAATGAGATGCGGCTGCTAAAGGGCAAAGGTTCGGAGCCAGGGGCCCAAAGAAATACATACTACTGAATTCTGTTTCGCACACACCCAAAAACATGTAAGCCGATGCCTCTGGTGAAAGAACAGAGTTGCACTGAATAAGACAGTGCAGCCAAGTGTCGGGTTTTCAGCTTGTTGCTTTTGGCTACAATGCCATTGCCGTGCACGGCGTCGCACTGCCTGCGGGACGCCCTGAAGCTCTTGCATGAATCTGCATGTTTAACATATTTGCAGTTGGCAGCTTCAAAGGTGTCAAAATTCGCTTGCTGTTCCTAAGGCACTCCCCGTCTTTGGCGACACCGCGCACCAAAACAGCCCCACGCCCAAGCCGCACCAGGTCACTGGGATGCCGCTTTCCTTCACCTTGGCAGAACGCACACGCTCAACTTTGAGGCCTTAGGCCATGCAAGTGGTCAAGCCTCTCAGCTTTCACCAAGGATGCCTGCACATCATGGTCCTTCACCACTCCTAATTAAGTTCAAAATGTCTAATTCAGATCAACTCCTCCTGACAAACAAGCCCAAAAACAAAATCGTTGAAACCGCAGGTTTGCATGAACGATGAATCATGAACGGGCTCGAGTCGATCACTTTCAACCAGTGGGGGGTGCTTGACTGACAATGCCCATTAATTCCCGTGATTCACGTTGCTGCCTTTTCCGCCCTGTGCAACGCGCATGTGAAGAAACCAACATTGTGCGAAATCTGTATGACGTGCGTCACCGTCGCACCGAGAGGCCGATCTAAACTCTGGACGTTGCACGGCACTCTCTGGGTGCCTGACAGCCTGAATGTGGCCCGGGAGCATGGCCTCTGGCAAGGCGATTCGTCTAAACGCCCAACGCAGTGAAGCACCCGAAGCACGTGGGCCAAGCAAAGGTCAGATCCAAAACAAATCCCAAGCAATCCTTCAAGACTGGAAGTTATGGGTTTGAACTTGCCCTTAAAGGAATCCTGCTCAAAACATCAAAGTCTTAGCCAAGAATTCGCGGATTCTTCGCACGGCAAAGTTGTCTGCCTCCGCCTTGCCGGCGCCATAGCGGGTGATGAGCATCAGCCTGCGATTGAGTTGGGAGTGTCTCAAAATGGCCGACCCCCCCTTAGTACTTGGGTCACCTTGGCTCTGTCTTTTTGGAGGGCACCCTGGATTGAAAACGAAAACCATTTTAGGGGTCCACCAAACGAAACACGCCCAGTTAAATGGAAACAAACATGAACCATAGTGAACCCCAACTATCTACAAGACCCCTATTTTCAGAAACGCCCAGGTTGTCCACTTGCGAAACTAAAGAAATTAAAGAACATTGACCGTGGCATGGTAAAAGATGAGTTGTTCGCCGCAGGTGGCAGGCAGCATGCGGTGACCAAATCGGACCAGTGCAGTTCTCAAACAATTCGCTGGTTGAACCAATCAACGATGAGCCCTGAGCGTGCTTGCGTGCGCGATGTTAAACTCTCAGCCTAGGCACCATTTTCAGGGTTTTTTTCATGGCAACCAAAGGACTAGGGGTCCCTTATTCTGAGACATGCCCATATTGACGATATGTTCCCAGGCAGGTTTGTCGGCCCCGTTTTGGATGGTGTTGGGAAACCGGAAAACCCACCCGTGTCTGGCCCTGCCTGCCCTCTTCTTTGTTGGGGTTCAGGGCCTCGGCTGCGCACCAGCAACAGGCCCTACCTCGATCTCGGGCTCCGGCTTGCACCAGCTCCTTCAACTCATCGTTCTTCATGGAAGGGCCTCGGGCGAAACAACCGCCCGGCCGTACGCCCGGGCTCGTTTCTGGGGCGTTTCTGGGGCTCGGGCCTACCTTGACGCCAATGGGATTGGTGATGCCTCTAAAATATTCGATGTGGGCCTGAGCGCCGTTTGCGCTGCTTGCCACCAGCTCCAACCTATCCAATACAGCTCCCGGCAACATGTAAAATTTTAAAAGCACGTGCATCAGAAGCTATGACTTTGTCAAAGCGCAGCTCGCAGCTGGTCAAAGGCCAAAACCAACACAGGAGCCTAGGAGCCCCCACGCAGTCCAGCTGCCTGGTGCGGTCCCCGATCCACACCTGGCTCCAAACCAGCTTGCCAGCTGACACAGCCAAACAACTCTCTCGTCCCACACACGCACCCAAGATAGTGCAAAGAAATTAGTCCTAAAACATCATTAACGCAGAGTGATGCAAGCATTGCTTATGTATAGGCAGGCGCGCGCTCGGGCCCGATGTGCCAAGCCACTTTTGCCCTCAAATATGATCTGGAAGCCCCGTGGGCTGACAAGCGGCCGTTTCGGGCTTATAGTCCTTTTCAGACGGTCTGTCTCAACCTGTTCTCCCCCCCCCCACGCTGAAGACAGAATATCTCGACGCACCCCCCATGCCCCGGCCAAGTGCGCGCTGAGGTTGTAGAACTTGGTGCCGACCGGCCGCGTAAGAGCTTCCTTCGCTGAGAGCAGTGTGGACTTACCCAGCCGGTCGCTACAGAGAAACCTGCCTACTGAGACAAGAAAACAAAGTCACCCGGCACACCTCCCTCATCTCGCCAATGGCCAAAGCAGGGCGGTCCTCCAAATCCAGTTGCATGGCCTCGTGGGAAGTGAAGAACCTGGGGAGAGGCTTGAGGTCACTACCAAACAAACACAAGTTTCAGGCTGCAGCGCTCATAAAAGACTGTTGTTTCGGAGCTGCAAGCCGAGGAAAGCTGGCTGGGGTCAGCCCGCAAGGGCAGAACCCTTTGAAACTCGTGCGGCTCGGTGCGCAAATGATTCGGAGGCCTTGCCAACGCATGGCGTGAGAAAGAAAACACCGCCAAGTTCAAATGCGCGAGGGACAAAAATGGTACTGCCTCACCGTTCGGCGTGCTAGTGAATTGTGAAGGACAAATTCAAGCAACAAACAGGGTTGTCCCAGTCTTGCAGAGAAGCCGTGGTCAAGTGCGAGGAAATGCTCACCAGCTGTCAGAAAAATCATAACCACTGTCAGTTGAGCAAAATTATTCCAAAGGCTGAAAGCTCCGCTTGATACACCCAGACCCTTGCAGAAATCAGAAGCTAGCTCGGCTGCAGCTTGTCCGCCCCGAGCTCCAAACTCCACCGTCTCAGGCACAATGGCCTTGCCAAAAATGGCCTGAGCAAAGCGTGCAGACTTCCATCCTTTGCGCTGGATTCATACCCTGCAACAATTGCCAGCATCGCCTTACTGTTGTGTGTCTGTTCTGCTCCTTGATTGACGGATAGGCAAGCCGTTTCCATACACAGGCTATGCTCATCAAGGTCCAGCAGTGCTGAGCATGCCAGTGCATGAACAAATGGCTAGGGCTGCGACCCTGGCATCCTCTGAGTAACTCTCGTAATGCTCTGAGCTCTTCAAATCTGCCACCTTGTGCTGGGACATGCGCGGCAGGCTGCAAGTCTGAGTCCAACACATGCCAGATTTACTTCCGGCGTCACAGCTCAAACATGAGAACCAGTCTGGATCCAACAAAAGCGGCAATCAGCTGCGTGGGGCATGTGTGCAGCCTTGAGAAGTTATACGTTTGCGAGCGAAGCTGAATCCCTCAACATGTCATGCAGGTAAGAAACAGGTAGCAGCAAAGCCCTGGGACTCTGTGAGCCCGTCCAGGTTTTACACACGCAGCAACCTCATTTTGCCTTGAGTCCATACGGGGAGCCTGCTCCAAGAAAAGAAGCACATTAACTTGTCCGAGCTTGAAGGCTGAAGGAGAGCGCCTGGATTCCTCAACCACAAGCTTGAACCCCCCTCCCCAACCTGGGCGCCCAGCCCCGACAGTCTGCAGTGGCAGGTGCTCGCCGCTGGTGCAGTAACCCCTCAGGAAGTTGAGGGCAGCGGCGGAGTGCCAATAGCCTGAGGAACGTGGCTCCCGATTCCTGGAGTTTATCCAGGAACAAGGGGTGGACAAAAAGACTAGGAAACCTAAGGCCTAAGAAGAGCCAAATGGGGCAATGGGAATGAAGCAAGTTTTGAAGTTTTGAGCAAACAGCTTGCAAGGTCAGCTCGCCAGCGATTGCGACTTCCGGCCCAGGCCTAGCAGCAGCCTCTCCGGGTCCCACTTTCGGTTTTTGGGGTCGAAGCCTCAAGCACGGGGACGCGAGGCGGCTAAGCCCGTTGATCACATTCCTGACACGGTCATGTCTGCCATGGCCCCTGTACTGCAGCTTGGCTTCTGCAGCTTCAACAACTATCCAAGGTCAAGCCTAGACAGGCAAGGCGCAAACACCACCCCTTGCTCTGAATTGCAGTGCAAGCATGCACGACGCAGCAAAAGAAGTAGCCAGGTTCGTCAAATCACTCGGTTCCCATCGTGGTGTAAATGCCTCGTCCTGTCGGAACTGCGTGACAGGGTCAATCTTGAGAATATGCACGATTAAACATCAAGTGCTTCCAAGGTGTCCCAAAATACTCGGGCGGACGAAGATTTAATCTTCAAAGGCGATCAGGCAAACCTCAAATCTCGCGGGAACCAAGTACCAAGCCATTGATGTTGTCGCCCTTGAAGCTCATGATCTCCCCGAAGCCTGCATTCAAGGAGCTTCACCCATGGCCGAGAATCCGAGAATTTGGACCAACGGCTGGCGCTGGAAACAGGGGCTCATCAATTGTACCCCCCTGTACTTCCAAGGCAGGGGTCATCAAACATGCGGCGCGTGACAACCGCACGGCCGCCTTCCACCGTCTCCGTGGGCTTGGACCGGGGCTTGCCGTACTGCCCTGGGCGCAGCGTAGCTGTTTGGCAACGCCGCCACGGCTTCACACCACGAGAGTATGGGTGACACCTGCTTGCCCCAGCCTGCAATCCGGCAAATCTTCAGCGTCGGCCTGGGACGGCGCCGAAAGAATCTCCTCAATGTGGGCAAATGTCTAAAAAGGGGCCCAACACAATGAGGTCGTCCTTTCAGTTTTTGTTTAAACCAGCCTTTACAGGGTACCCTAAAAATAAAACACCCACACACCACGCACGCACACTCACACCCACACCCACACACACACACACACACACACACCCACGCACGCACGCACGCACACACGCACCCACACACACAGACACACACCCACCCACCCACCCACCCACCCACCCACCCACCCACCCACCCACCCACCCACCCACCCACCCACACCACACCACCCACCCACCCACCCACCCACCCACCCACCCACCCACCCACCCACCCACCCACCCACCCACCCACCCACGCACGCACGCACGCACGCACGCACGCACGCACGCACGCACGCACGCACGCACGCACGCACGCACGCACGCATCCATACACGCACACTTCACACAGTGCACACACACACACACACGCACACACGCACACACACACACACAGTTTTGGTGTAAGGCAATCGGCTCTACTCGGATTGCAAAGTGAGCCCTTCATTTGGGCATGCAATTTCAACCAATGTGCCCCATCAAAGCCTGTCCCTGGAAATTGCCGCGCACCGCTGATTACATTTCTTTTTCAGCCACCCCGAAGTCAAGGCCAAGTGGCAGACTTATCCACAAGTCCTGCCAAGTTCCACTGCTCCCTTTTTCTCCCCAATCACGTACAATCAGTCTGAGCACTTCCTTCAAGCAAGCTATGTAGCTAGCCAAAGTCTCTTCCTAGCTTTGCCAAGAACCCTGCCAGATAAATCCTCCGCCTTCATGCTGCCGCTGCTGCTTAGACAACGCTAGGAGCGCCGCTTGCCGCTGATGTGCTCTACGATCATGCCTTGCTGCCGGCAGGCAAGAGCACACGCCTACCCAAAGATTATCCCCCTATTCACTCGAGCACGTGGACGTCATCGATCGGGCGTCATGCGACATATTGATAGCTGCAGGCCAAGCAGTCCCCATAAGCCATGCGATCAATATTGAGAGGCCAGAGAAAACGACCGAAACAAACGACGTTTGCTTCTTGGAGCCTTTTGAACCATCCATGCAACAACCTGTTATGCCGCATGCGTGTGTCTTGTCTGCAGTCATGCTCTTGGAGCTCATGCCCAACACCCAAAAAGAGACAGACATCAGGAAACCCACCAACATGTCCCAAACCTACAACAGCTGAAACAATCAGCGCAGAACACCAGCATGTTCTGCGTCGGTGGTTGTATGTGATTTGTGTTTGTTTTCATGTTTGTTTGATGGATTGCTTGCTTGTCTGTCAGTCAGTCAGTCCGTCCGTCTGTCTGTCTGTCTGTCTGTCTGTTTGCTTGTTTGCTTGTTTGCTCGTTTGCTCGCTTGCTTGCTTGCTTGCTTGTTTTGTTTTGTTTGTTTGCTTGCTTGCTTGTTTGCTTGTTTGTTTGGTTATTGCTTTCTTTATTTGTTTATTTCTGTTTTGTTTCTTTGCTTGTTTGTTGGTTTTATTTTTTGGTTGTTTGGTTGTTTGCTTGTTTGATTGTTTGTCTGTGTGTGTGTTTGATTGGTTGTTTTTGTTTGATTGCTTTATTGATTGTTTGTTTGCTTGCTTGCTTGCTCGCATGCTTGCTTGCTTGCTAGCTTGCTTGCTTGTTTGTTTGTGTTTGTTTGTTTGTTTGCTTGCTTACTTGTTTGTTTGTTTTTGGTGGTTGGTTTGTTTGCTTGTCTGTCTGTTTGTTTGAAAAAGCCAAACATCTCTGCTGGCGCGCTGTTGGTTGAGGATTCTTATTTGTGCGGTTGGCATTTGTCATGTATGAAGCCTCTCTGTTGCAATCATGTTAATTGTTGCTCGTGAGTATCGCTGGATGCTCTGTGATTCGCTGCGTCGGTGTGCGTGTGTCTGTTTCGGGGCATCTTAGTTTGAGTATGAAAGTTCGTTGGTTTGTGCTCAGGAGGTAATTAGCAAGTCCCATGCCTTTAACGCGTGTGGTTGCAGCGTTGTTGCATTGTTTCCGGGCGTGGGCGGGAAGCACAACGTGTTGCTCACAGCGCTGCATTCTGCTACTCTTGCGTGAACGTGGCATGTGTTCGCGCTGCACTCAACTAAGCATATTCACCAATCCAAAGCTGCCGGGTCTTTGGCCACTCCCGGCCAGTAACTCTGACCCTAAACCATTCTCCACCAAGTAGGAGGTCAAGCAACTGCCGATTGACTGGCCATACTGCGCTGTGCTGGAAGATGCTTCGGGTGTTGCTATCCCCCCGCTCCTTTGCGTGCTGTATTGTGCCAGGCACATGATGGAAAGTGCCTCATGTGTTACACGTACGTGCCGCGCTTTCCGTGCAGAAGGCTAAGCCCCGCTCCCATCTGCAGGATGAGCTTCAGCTGCGTCTCCAAACCTTGGGCGAATCATGCCCTCCTGCACTGCAAGAACATGCCAAAAGCTTGCTAAGGTGCAACCCGTAAGTATGGGCTATGACCAGGGCGGATGCAGGAAGAACCCACTGGCTGCAAGATTCCATCGAGCAAATGCCCGCAGAAACAGCCGCCGCAAAGCAAATGATTTTGCCCGAGGCTTATTTCTCTTTGTTTCCAACATCTTCAGGCTCATCTCAAACCATACGAAAAAGATCATTTTTTGAAGCCGAAACTATTTCAACTTAAAGGCTGGTCGGCAAAACACCGGTAGCTACTGTTCGCAGTGCACACAATGATATGCAGGACTTGCTGAATATGCATAGGGATAGGCCTGTCCTTCAAAGCAAAAGCAGAACCTCGGGCCATGAAGGTACCCCCATGGCATGAGAACTGCTGCGATTGATACTTTGGAAACATCATGCCACAGCGCGGATTTCAAAGACTTCATGAATTCGACTGCATTAGCTCGAAGCCCTTGGTACCCGCACGCTCCCCCTCACAGTCCAGAAACCGCTCGGCCTTGGTGAGAGAACGACTGTCTGGCCTTTGCCACTGTGCCCCACACCGAGCAACAAATACGAAGCCATGCAAAGCCGTTTGAATTTCGAAAGGTACCCAAGTTGTGCCTTGCTCCCCCGCGATCCCAGGGCAATGGCACAGTCGCCCCCTTGCACGATGAAGCGTTCCCCTCGGCCGGCCTGGCGATGGATACAAGTACGAGCAAAGGTGTGTACCTCAACACCTTTGACCTATACATACACCCAGAGGTGGGTACAGGCACAGCCTGGGTACCATGAGTCGGCTCACATGGCACCAATACAAGCTTGGACGGCAGTGTATGCTGATTCTGCAGTGGCTCAACTTCGTGCCTGCTTTTTTGGTTCCCCTGTTCCTGCATGTTCCCTTCAAGCAACAAACAGTTCTAACTGTTGGTAGAGGGGCTACCTTGTCTGGCCAAATGCAGAAATGGTACAAACAAGGAAGGGGGGGAGGTTGACATGTTCAGTACTACATTTGGGGAGGACATGGGGGGGAGCTCACTATTGTTTTCACAAGCAAGGTCTGTCTGGCATTGGATCATTTCGCACAAGGACCAAGTTGTTTTTGACCGTGGCTCCCGTGTTTGGTGGCTTGGATTTGCGTTTTGAGGATTTGAGTCCGAAAAAGGTGCACCCGTTCACACCTCCAAAGCAGCAGTGCAAACTACCAAGACAAGGGATACCCTACAGGTTTGGGAGTCTTGTTCAAAGGCAATCATCACCCTTGGGTTATGGTAGTCCCCTTTGAAATATATATATATATATATATATTAGTTTGTGCAAGTTGTTTTTGGAATTGAGGAAAATCGAATTGGCCACCCTCCATTTTGAACAGCCCAATGGTACATGTAGAGTCTACCGTTTTTGTCAGGAGGATCCAACTGTTGCCTGAGGGCAAACCTCAAATTACCCTGAATTTAGGGCACCCCTGGGCAGTGACCAATTGCAGAATGTAGAGCATGTCACCACACGCACACGCACAAGGACTCATGTGCGAGGGCACATGCACACGCACGCAAAGGACCTCCTTCAATAACTGTTGCCAGCAAAATCCAACCCTTGCCCTCTGCAGGAGAGGTGTCGGGTGTAACACACACTGGGCAATGTTTTCCCCTTCGGGGTGAACAACGGCAGCATATTTTCTGCAGTAAGCGATCAACTTGCAAGCCGAGCGACGGTTGCGTCCAAGTATCCAGAAAAGATCCACCCCTAATGGTTACTTTGCTTGGGGGCAAGTTGGCCACAACATGTGCTCAAGTGATTTGAGCCCCTCAGGCCTCCGCCATCAGGGCCTTGAGGCGTTCGCACTCCTTTGGCTGCACCTAGGCTGTGCACGGCAAAGTTTCGAATCCAAAAAATACACGATTCAACTGAGCAAAGAGTGGGTAATTTTGTACCCACAACAACTCAGTTGCATCGTCCCTGTCAGGAGCCCGCAACGATAGGAATACCAAGCATGCACGTGCGCCATGCCATGTCGTGCACTCTTGAAGCCCGTGTTCAGCAGTTGTGCTGACTGTTCAAAATATGTCGCTAATAGGTCTACACTGGGTTTCTACTGGGCAGCTCTGGTATTTAGCAAAGATTCTCAGCCTTTCCTGCCCACACGCTCAGGTCATGGCCTTTTGACTCTTGCTGATCCTTCTCCCAACGCTTTCCCACTCCGGTTCAGAAAAACTCTTAGTGGGAAAAAGCCTGATGTGAAACCCAATGGCTTGTACATTTCATGTTCACGACAGAGCCTCCTCGCAGCCAGCCAAACACGCCAACCTGCTGCAGTGGGGGGGGGGGGGTGAGAAACACAGGCCGCTAGTCCCTCAAAAGGCTCAGTCGGGCATTGGCACCTGCACTGACGGCCCCCGCCAAGGGAGGGAGCTTCCCTAGCTTGCCCAAGACCTGCGCGATATCAAATCCGAGCATTGGAGGCGAGGGCATGGTCTTCCCTGGAGTGGAAGAAGACTTCCCAGCTTCCTGCCTCAGGCCATGAATGAGTCACTGGCCAGGGCTGTTAGGGCAGGCCAGGTCGGCAGTTTAGAGCGTATGCAGCATCGAAACGACCAAACTAGTGCAGCACACGTGTGGCACAAGCTGCAACAATGTAAGAGCAGGCCCAAGCTGCATCCAGTCAGGTCGTGGGCATTGCGATCGTTGGCGCTTAAGTGGCACTTGTGTAACAACATGAGGCAGCTCAAAGCGGCAAACGGCACATTCGCCCACATACTTCAAGCAAGAAAGGCTCCGAAGGTGAAAAGCCCTGTGAAAACGAGCTGGGGACTTGCTCATGGCATGCAGCCTTACAACCACTGCCATTGGTGCCGCAACATGGCTCGGCTCAGGATGTAAGATGTGTCCAAATCTCGCCTTGTCAGCCAAGACCTTGTCTTCCCACTCGGCCATCTGATGCTTTGGGAGCGACCTGTCAAATGCCACAAGCCGTGGAATCAAACATCCCCAAGCCAAGTGAATGTCATGTCACCTAACCCGAGAGTTATTTCAACGTCAGCCACCTTGGCTTCCCCAATGTCAGCTTGAGCGGGAGCGCATCCTTTGAGCGCTGACCGGGAGACAAGGACCGGTCAGCAAAGACAAGCAGCCCGCTGTCAAGGCTCAACGTGCCGCAACTGCAAGAAGCGACTAGTAAAGCAACAAAGTTGCTTTAAAACTTGCAAGGGCAAGCATGGGATGTATGTGTCTCCAACTTGCGGGGCATGCACCTAAGGAAAACCCCGGATTAATCAACCCCTGGTTGATTGGTGGGGGGGGATCATCACCTTCGGAGGGAACGCTTCCCTACAAATGGGACGAGTTCTACTTAGATCCGGGGTCACCACCCCCCTTCCCCCCCCGCCTCCATGAGCTCGGGCTCCAAGCCCTCGGATTCTCCCGATCCGATGCACGGGAAAATTCGTGTGTCCGAGTTGGGAGACATGGGTGTCTTTTTCGAAGGTTTGTTTTTAAAGGGAACCACCGGAAAAAAAAAAAAAAAAAAAAAAAAAAAAAACTGATTTTGAGGGTCCCCACAAACCCATACGTGGAATCATGTAAGTAAGTGTGTGATATGTTGAGTGAAGACTATGTAACAATGTAGCACAGAGCTATGGGAAAGTTGAAAGAATCACCCGTGCGCTTGAAAGATGTGGCCATACCCTATGTTGCAAGAATCGGGCACCGCCTGAAACGTTCTTGCCGACAAAGCAATCAACTCAGCAGAGATACTTGGACCTTTTGGGTGGGCTGGTGAGGCGAGGACAAATGGACTTAGTAAAGGAGGTGTTGCCCTTTTTTGCTAAGGTGGAAGCACTCTCAAAAAAAAAGTTGGCACAGTAAACAACCCACTAGATGTAAGGCTGCCACTGGCAGCAGTGTAATGTTGCCGCAGTCGGTGCCCAGACTGCCCGTCTGAGCCCCTCGCTCCGGCATGCCCTGTGCAGGGAAAAAATAGACAAACTGGACAAGTAGCGCTAACCCTGGATGAATAAACCATAATAAACACCCTTGTTGAGTACTGGTTGGGGATAGGCTGTCAAAAGTCGGGGCCCTGTTTGGTATCCCATGTAACCCCTAGAAGGATTTTGATAACTCCGTGAGTAAGCCAAAAATAATTCCCCAGACCCAGGAACCAGCCAGGCGAAATGAAGGGTCGTATAGCTATGTTGCATTACTTCATCACAGGCAAGATTCGTTTCACTGCTGACGTTAGTTTGTCCAAGCAAAACTCTCCAAAAAGGCTGCTCGGCTGGTAGACTGGCTTCGGATGGAACATTGCCAGCGCAAATTCCAGCTTGCATGGCAACAAGGAAATCAGCACGACTGTCAAAGGCTCCGAAGCAGGTCTCTGACATTCCGACTGCGAGTCTCTGGGCGGGCTACATCCGGTGCTCCGATCAGCATGGTATCGCCAAAAACGACATGCACTAAGAGCATGCTGTCAATAATTGCCCCGCAATGGACATGGACTCCCCCTTGGCGGTGCCCACTGAGCAGCTCTGAGCCCAGGCCTCCAAAGCGAACCGTCAGGGCAGATGCGGTTCAACGGGGATGTCTTGAGCCCGGCACGGCTAGGATTCGTCAAAGTGGGGCTAATGCTTGGACACAAGAAGAACAAGGGTGTGCTTCAAAAAATAGGTGCCTCCCAAAAATGGGTGATGTCATGATTGATTTCTTGTTGCAGCACCCAAATAAAGTCCCCCAAAAGGCGCACCCATCAAGCAGCTTCAGCATCATGCCCGCAAGGCAGCGCTCATGTCTTTCCAGCGCGCAGCTTCCCAGGTTTCCATCTTGGGCACGTGGCCGATTATCGGGTACCCGTTTTTTGTTTTTTTTTTTGTGGTCTTAAGGGAAACCAACAGGGCAACCACCATTTTGGGGGGGTCCCCTCAAAGAGGCAAGCCTATACAAACTGTTCCCAAGTTCCTTGGGAATCTTGGGACCTGTCATGAACCAACGACCACCTGCTGTGGAACCCCCTCCTCGCCGAATCGGTGCCATGAGGATAGCCTCGCGGCTAGGTATTCTTGGCGGTGATGGCCCCCGCCCGCACGTCCACCTCCCACTGAACCTCGGCCATGTCAACACGGCAGTCAGGAGAGGGAAAAAGGAAAAACGCAAGGCACGCCCACCTCTCAGGCTGCTTTTGCTTCTCAAGCAAGTCTTGCCATGCTTGCTTGCTTGAACGGGGGGGGACAATTCCAATGAAGCCCATGAAACCAACACCAACAAGCCGTTTGGACATGACTTCTTGTCTGCCTTGCGAGGCAGTGGGCAGGTGGACAGGCAGCCGCCATTCAAACAAAACGCGCGCTGGTTGTCCCGGCCCCCCTGCTGCAAGTTGGAACACAACCCCCATGTCCGTGGGTGGCTCAAATCCCATTGCGAGTGCAAAAGGCCCGGGCTTGCCCCAAAGGCGCAGGAATCCAAGCATTCAGCCCACTGTGCTTCAGCCTTCCATTCGCTTCAAGCCAAGGGGCGCTTGGCAAAGAGCCGCCATCCTGCGCAGCTGTGGCACCTACAACAACCTGAATTTTGATTCCTCAGAAGCTCAGTCCAAATTGGTACCACAAGCTTCAGCAAAACGCTGCAGTGTCTTCAGCGTCGCCCAAGATAGGCCCTGCCCGAGCACCTCGCTTCCCTCATCCGAATTGTCTCCGCGCCTTGACGGCTCGTAGCTTCTGCAGCATGAAGGCGTAGGGATCGGCCTGGGTCCAAGGCGGAGGTTTGAGGGAGTGGATTATCATGAAAGTACCCGCCCAACAAACATGGCTTGGTGCACAAACCCCGTTTGGCAGACTTCTCTTTGGGTCGAGATTTAATTTGGGAATTGTTTTTGTTTTATTTTAGGATTTTTTGTGTTTTCCGTCCTGGCTACGAAAATGCTGTAATTTACAGCATTTTCTCGCGAAATGTGTATATGTCTCGCGTCCGTCAACATCATCAGCATCGTTTTCAACATCCCCCGCATGTCCAGCCAACATCCCCAGCATCACCAGCAAATTGGCTTCCCGCATCTCATGGTAAAAGTGAGGATTCAATTCAAGGCGCGGGGGGGTTGGGGGGGGGCGGCAGCCCCCCTTGGGGGGGGCGGCAGCCCCCCCATGATCAAAAAATTAGGGGCAAAGAATCTAAAAAGTAGCGGTCGCATGATGATTGAAAAAGTGATGATTCAATTAAAGGCGCGGGGGGGTTTGGGGGGGCGGCAGCCCCCCCCATGATGATCGAACAAATAGGGGCAAGGAATCTAAAAAGTAGCGGTCGCATGATGATCGAAAAGTGATGATTCAATTAGGGGCACAAAGTCCAAAAAATAGCGGGGCTGCCGATTGAAAAAGTGATGATTCAATTAGGGCCAAACATATATTAAAAAAGCAGCGGGGGGGTCAGCGGCAAGGCCTCATGGTACAAGTGAGGATTAAAATGCGGGCAAACGAATCCCTGTAGATCGAAAAAGTGATGATTCAATCAGGGGCAAAAAGTCTAAAAAATAGCCGGGGGGGTTGGGGGGGCTGCCGCCCCCCGATGATCGAACAATTAGGGGCAAAGAATCTAAAAAGTAGCGGTCGCATGATGATCGAAAAAGTGATGATTCAATTAGGGGCACAAAGTCCAAAAAATAGCGGGGGGGTTGGGGGGGTCGGCAGCCCCCCCCCCCCACGATGATTGAAAAAGTGATGATTCAATTAGGGCCAAAAATATATTAAAAAAGCAGCGGGGGGGTCATCAGTTCCTCTGCGGCAAGGCCTCATGGTACAAGTGAGGATTCAAATACGGGCAAACTAATCCCTGTAGATCGAAAAAGTGATGATTCAATCAGGGGCAAAAAGTCTAAAAAATAGCGGGGGGGTTGGGGGGGGCCAGATGATCGAACAATTGGGGGCAAAGAATCTAAAAAGTAGCGGTCGCATGATGATCGAAAAAGTGATGATTCAATAGGGGCAAAAAGTCCAAAAATTAGCGGGGGGGTTGGGGGGGGGCCTGCCCCCCGATGATTGAAAAAGTGATGATTCAATTAGGGCCAAAAATATATTAAAAAAGCAGCGGGGGGGTCATCAGTTCCTCTGCGGCAAGGCCTCATGGTACCAGTGAGGATTCAAATACGGGCAAACTAATCCCTGTAGATCGAAAAAGTGATGATTCAATCAGGGGCAAAAAGTCTAAAAAATAGCGGGGGGGTTGGAAGGGGCTGCCGCCGGCAGCCCCCCCCATGATGATCGAACAATTAGGGGCAAAGAATCTAAGAAGTAGCGGTCGCATGATGATCGAAAAAGTGATGATTCAATAGGGGCACAAAGTCCAAAAAATAGCGGGGGGGTTGGGGGGGGGCTGCCGCCCCCCCCACGATGATTGAAAAAGTGATGATTCAATTAGGGCCAAAAATATATTAAAAAGCAGCGGGGGGGTCATCAGTTCATGGTACAAGTGAGGATTCAAACACGGGCAAACTAATTCCTGTAAAACACTTAAAACGTAGCGGGGGGGGGGAGCGGCAATTCCTTCCATGATGATTGAACAAGTGATGATTCAATCAGGGGCAAAAAGTCGGGGGGGATGATGATTGAAAAAAGTGATGATTCAATGATGCAATGGGCCAAAAAAAAAATTAAAAAAAAAAAAAAGCAGCGGGGGGGGCATCAGTGCCTCTGCGCCAAGGCCTCATGGTAAAAGTGAGGATTCAAATACGGGCAAACTAATCCCTGTAAAACGGCAGCCAAAGAATCTAAAAAGCAGCTGTCGCATGATGATCGAAAAAGTGATGATTCAATTAGGCATGACAGGAACTTGCGATGCTGAGGATGCAGGAAGCCAAGGCCAAAAACCAACTGGGAAAGCAGAGGATGCGAAAAGCCAAAGCCAGAAAGCCGCCAAAAGCCACAAAGCCAAAAAGCCGCAATGCAGAGGATGCGAAAGAGAGAAACTGTGAATGCAGAGGATGCGAAATGAAAAGCCACAAAAGCCACAAAAACCCACGTAAAAGCCACAAAAGCCAAAAAGCCGAAAAGCCACCCACCCTGAAAAACAAAAATAAGTCCTTAAAAAAAACGAAGAAAAAAATCCTAAAAAAATGGCCCTCCCTTCTCTTTTGTAGGGGCCTGCGAACTTCATAGTGGGAGTCAGCCAGCACGAGCCCCTGATTTTGACACCTCCCCTCGGGGCAGGGATTGACTGCTTACCGCTGGAGGTCCCTTGAATTGCATGAGGTTCTTCTGCGTTTGACTGGTTGTCCCCCGCGATTTCCTTCAAACATCAGCCCACCATCCCCAGCCAACGGCTACTCCGGGACACTATCAAAGAAAAGCGGGGAGAGAAACATCATCCAAAGATGTCGTTTCCGGCGATCTGGCAACCGATCGCATCTCTGCTGGGGTACCGGTTGCTGCTCCAGCACGTCGGACATCAACCCCTGAGCCAGGCTCCAGGACTGAGGTCTGCCGATTTTGGCTTCGGCCAGAGGGCTTTGTTTGCAACTGGGCTGTTGGCAAAATCGCCCGGACATAGCGAGGTGGCAAATGCGGAAATCGAACGCTGACGTGCCTGGATGATGTTGTTAGCCTTCTCCTGCCAAACCCCATGAAACGCGGAGCCGACGCAAACCACGCTTGACCATACAGCGAATTCATGCAAAACCCCACCCTCTGCCGGCGCCTGAAGCTTAAGGCTCTTCTCATCCAGGTTTTGCTTTTCTGCTGGCTTGGCCCTGCAAAGCGCTCTCTCTCTCTCTCTCTCTCTCTCTGCGCTGGCCCTTCTGCACGGGGAGTAAATTGAGCGTGTCATTGCTTCAATTCAAGAAATCCATAAAGATTGCTTAGAGGAAACTATTGCTTTTTGAAGGGGGGTCGGCATGTCCCCATGCTTGCTGAGTAGACTCGGCTGGAAATGGCTTGTGGCGGGTACATACATCGGAGAAAAAAAGAGGAAAACAAAAACACATAAGGACCTGGTGCTTCCTGCATCAGTTGCGGAGACTGCCTCTAGGCCTGGCTTTGTGAATTCTGCAGCCTGCTTGCTCAGTTTGTAGGAGCATCTGGCTTCTACACAGGGCAGAGTACGGTAAAGCGTAAAGTGTTGTAACAAGTACTGCGGGCCACTTGGCCCGGCCCTGCTGGCAAGGAGCTGAATCAGAATTTTTGTCTTGGTGCCGTCCGGCTTGACCACCGGCAGCTTTGTCGTGACAGCATCGCCCTCGGAGCCACGCGGCGTGGCGAACGGCGAACTTGTTGCTCGAAACTCAAAGCGTGAAGCCGTCCGTTTCGGATGCTCTGATCCCTACGAGAGCCCCCGTGCAGGTGGAAGCATGCAGTTAACCAGAACCAGACAGCTCTGCGCTCTTCCAGGGCCCAGGGCTCCTGAACCCCCCCTTCCGCGCTCGCCCTGCCTGAGCACCCTTTGGCATAGTCAGGTCTCCCCCGCCCATGCTTTGCAACACAGTGACCTTGGTGCAAACATGGACTTCCTGCCTGTCACGTCACATTGCTTCTGAGAACAAGTGTTGCCGAAGTGCAATCTAAGTTGAGAAGAGTTATTTAGGTGTTGCCCATACATGACCACGAACGACTTGATGGCTTGGTAAAAGTTCGCCTGCCACAACAAGCTGGGCACATCCGGCACGACACCCTGCAACCACCACCGAAGTGCCCACCAAGCTTCTTCTTAGCCGCTTTGAGCAAGCCGCTTTGAATCTTCCAGGATGTCCAACAATGGAGGGCTGTGGAAACAATTCAGCGCACTGGAGGATCCTTCCAAAATTCCAAGCATTTCCAAAATGAACAAGTTGGATTCCAGCGCTGCAATGCGACTTGTCCCAAGGACCTCGGTCAGAAAGCGGCACCTGGGGCAGGCGCTAGGCATTTGCCAGCCGCCATGTCGACCTTTCGCGGCGCCGCCTGAGCCACTCAGCCCATGCGAGATCTTCCTTGTCTTCCCTGCCCATCTTCGCCCAAAAATTGGCTTCGGTTGTACTGTAGCCTTGCATAAGGGCCCCAGTAAGTCTCCCCAGACCTGAGAGGGCAATTAGGCCTGCAAATGAGGCAATTTCCTGGCCTCGATCTTGGTCGCCTTGCGCTGTGTGCCGACCTGCCCACAAACCACGACAGGCAATCCACTGACTTGCTGTTCGTACGTGTAGAGTTTATCCTATCATGTCCTCACAGAACTTCTGGTTGCTCCTTAGCTCCCTCTTTACACACAAAATTGCATACCCCAGCTCCTTGTCCCGCTTCCAACCAACAGCTAGTACTCAAACAGCGGACCGGGTGCCGCCTGCCCTTAGTCCGAAGTCACAGCTTCGACGCCCGGCCAAGATTTCATCACACTCCGATCTGGGCGGCGAAGACTTCATTGGGGCCGAGTCTTTACAAGTGGGCGCCTGGGCCACACCCAAAAACCAGCTTCGCATAGCTTAGCTTTGGCAGACTCGTCCCAAGCACCGCCTTCAGGGCGACCAATGCGTCCTGCAGAGGTGCGAAACTTGGTGGCTCAGCTGGAAAGTGCCAACAAGGTCTGTGGCCCAGGCGGGCGGCAGGCCCTTGCCCTCCAGGATGCTCACCTATACCCCGGGCCGTGGTCACCGCACGTGACAACCGTTCCAAGACCCCACCCCACTGAAACGGGCTCTTAATATACATGACACCTCTTCCAATGAACTTCCAACCGCTGGTCATGCTTCAAGAAATGGCTCGCACATCCCAAAATGCAAGGAGCATTGGCACCAATAACACAATCACCAATGACATCATCACCACTTGCCAGGGGCGCCATACCTTTCAGACCTTTAGACATGGCCCGCACTGGCAAAATCGTCCATGCGACAGAAACTGCGATGCATACCGAGTGGGATCGGATCCTGCACTCACGGACCTGGTCGTCTATTGGGGCATCGGCGGCATCGACCACAAAACATGCACTCTTCCTGCTGAAACAAAGATTAATTCATCGGGGGGTGCCCATGCCACCAGGCAGGCGGCCTGATATTGCTTGCAATGGGAGAAAATAATTGCCTTGCATTCGAAGGTTAAAGGTTAAATTTAAAACCCGTCCTCGAAAGGGTCAGCAGTGCCACATTGATACTGGCACAGGCTTCGACCAAAACCCTGAGACTCTCCAGTTGCGAACCCTCCCGCGATGCCTCCATGGTTTCTGAATGGCCGATCGGCTTGAGCCAGTTGTAGCTGCAGGACCCGAGGGTATTGGCAAGGGAACAGTTCGCGCTTGAGCAGTCAGCAACTAGCCCAGCAGTTGCATCATGCAAAACTGGGACATCAGAGGTGCGCAGCTCTGCTTGCCAGTGGCCAATGGAAGCTGTGCCTTCATACCTTGACGCGAGCCTCGGCCGTTCTTTTCACGCCACCGTGCGGGGACTCCCTCGGGCGGGCGGTGAAGCGAAGTCCCAGGTTCGGCCTGGGCGCGACGGGGCGGGCAAACATGCTGGAACCCTCGAGTCAACAATATCCGGAACCCAGGAATCGACACAACTTGCCCATGGGCCGAGATCAAGCCGAGCTTCCAGTGAAACGAGGAAACGCAGCCTTCTTCTTCTGCAAGTACCGCAGGATGCCCAAGTAGGGTGAGCCTCAACCAACAAACATTTCAGCCCACCAGTCTTGGGCAGCCCAACCACTCTTGAGCCGTGACTCTGAAATGCTGGAACCAAGTAGCCTAGTATCTTGTTCCATGCTGACTGGCTCCTCCCCGACAGTAAGTGGTGTTTTCTGGTTCAGTTCGTCAGCAGCCACATGCATGGATGTGGCATCCTTAAGAATAAACATGCCCTGCTGCAATTGTGAGCCCTAGAGTCCGACGCTGGCTGGCCATCTAGATTGCGCCCAGAATCCTGCCAAGCCGTCGAAACCACAAAAGCAACAAGGTGACCAGGCAAAGCACCTTCTCATTGCCATGCAAAAATGGTTCTGATTGTCCCTGGGGCTCCGATGAGAGCACCCCGCGACTCATGTCTCTTTCTTGAGAGGTTGGTCTGGTCAACGCTTGCCACTCCTCGCTTTGCAAGAAACGCAAGCATGAGAAGAAAGACACGATACAAGAAGAAACATGGAAACACGGAAAGGTGCGATGCGCCTTACTCGGCACCACGAGGCTACTCGGCACGAAGTACCGGGGCTACGGACTGCAACACCAAAACTCCCCCTGAAATGCCCAGACGCAACTGGGATCCTCGGAGTTGTAGTCGAACCAGCACCTGCCAAATGCAAACCCCATACCTCCCGCTGGAAAACAAACACAGCACACCAACGCGCAGCCACGTGCAGTCACCTAGCGCACGTCTTGAACCAAACTTAGTCACGTGGAATTTGCAAGCTTTGGGCTCTAACACCAGGCGATCAAACCGCAACACAAGTTTGCATGGTAATGATTTCGACGTGCATTTTGTTTGTTTCCAGCCACTGTTCCCAGCTTCTCAAACCGCGTTGTGAGGTGTGAGCTTGCCCAATGCTACCCCGTGCAACTCGCGATTTGCATTTGGAACTTCCAAGAAGTTGGCAAACGGAACTGCTCTTGCGCAAAACGCGTTCTGAAGCAACTTGCGGATCTTGCGGGCCACGTGAGTATGGAAGAATTGAGCCTGCTGTCAAATTCTCCCATCTTGCCGCCACGATACCAAAAGCTGAAGCCACTATTGGTTCTCGAAACCTGCACACCCTTCCTCAGCCTGGCCTGTTCTTCACCAGCATGTCCTTGACCAGCTCCTTGCGGTTCGCCACCAGCCGTTCCAAGTGCTCTGCCAAAGCAGGCGCCGCCTTGGTTCCATTGGCTGGGTGCCGACAGTCAAATGGAACTTGGCTTGAAGTAGCAGGGCAAATGATCTCCTTTGTGGTCATGACGTGCGTTCAGCACACAAGCCCGGCCTGGTTCATTGGCCACTTCAAGGAGAAGGACGGCCTCGGGATAGACACCACAACAACCACCAACCACCACTGCCACCGACAACAACGATCCCCACCACAAACACCGCAAACACCACAAACACCACCGCCGCCACCACCACCACCACGCCGCAACCAACCACACCCGCAGCCGCACTGGAACCACAAGCATAACGCCAGCCCAAGCAGTGGGGGTGGGTTGAGGTGGGGTGGGGGGGGGGTGGTTGGGCGTCACAAGCGAAAGCCTCACCCACCTAACCAACCAACCAACCAACCAAACAAACACACAAACAAACACGGCAATGAAACAGAAAACAAACATGAAAGAGAGCAAGAACGAGGCCTGGAGTCTGGGTCTGGACGCAGGCTACCACATGTAGACTCACGCAAATGCCGAGCAGTGCAAAATAGCGTTGGCCGGGCTGCCAATCCAGGAAGTCATCAAAGGGCAAGCCAATGTGGTCGGACAGGATGACCTGAGCTGAGGTGCAGGCTTCAGGAACCACCTGAGCCCCCTCCCCTGACATCCGGGTTGCCCTCTGAGCCCACCCGCCCTTTTACAGATTTCCCCTAGGATACATCGAACAGTTAACCTGCTTTACAAGGGGATCCTCCATGCACATATTCATCAACTCCTGTTTATTAATACGGGGTATTTCCCTCCAAAAGTGATGTTCCCCACTAAACCCAGGGACACCCCCATATTAATAAACCGGGGATTATTAATTTGGGGTCAACATTACACCAGCCCAAATGCCCCCTGAAAGGGAGCCTGCCAAAAACCCCGAAAATCTTGTTCGCCAGGCGGCTGGGATGCACCCGGCGAAAAGCACCTCGTAGAGGCGGTTGCTCCAGTACCCCAGTCCCTTCGGAGCGAAGCAAAAGTGGCACTCCCCGATGCGCTCGAAATATTCCTCGGGCAAAAACGTACTGGGCCCACAGGAAACGGCCGGCAGGAAAAAACTCGCAAGTGGGCTGAGCCAACAAGGAACACCGCTGGACCGCCCATTGCAAGTTTGTGGCAAGCCTGACATGCGACCCTGGCGCCAAGCATCTGTAATCCGCGAGAACCTGTAGCCAATGCTGAAACCAGGACGGCCCCGCAGGCTCTGCAGGTCATTGCGGACCTCAGGGTGGGTGGGGGGGTGTGGGTGGGTGGTGGGGGGGTGGGGGGGGGTGGGGGGGTTGGGGGGGGTGGGTGGGGGTGTGTGTTGCTGTTGCTTCGCATGTTGACCCTGGAACAACCATTGTCATTTTGGCTCAAGGCCCCTCTTGTATCATAGACACGCAGTCATTCTGCAGCCACAACAAAAGGAGACCAGCAGAGTACAGGAATACACCACAGATCACAGGAGCAGGGAATTCCATTCTCAGTTCCTCCACTATTGGCATATTGGACTCTCTTGCAGAATAGATCCAGAGACCGTCACACACATTCTCTACTACCACAAGATACCTGTTCCCTTCTGGGATACGGCAGTGGTGGTAGCGGAGCGGGTTTTCCGCAGAGATCCAAACACAATGTCATCCATGGAAGCCTACTCAAGCGTTGGCCGATCATCCGGCTACACTGAAGAGACGCTCAGCTTATCGATGACCGCCAAGCAGCCGCCATCGTACGACGGAAAAGTCAGCTGGTTTAGATATGAAGAACTAGTAGATGATTGGGTGACCCTCACCACCATCAAGGCATCCAAGAGAGGACCACTCCTCAAGAGCCGTCTCACTGGAGACGCTCACGTGTACAAGGCAGTCCTCCAGAATGACCTCCTGCAAGATCCTGACGAAGGAGTCAACTATTTCAAGAACGCGCTGAAGAAATTCTTCCTGAAGGGTCGACCAGTGACAGAAGGCAGAACACCAAGTCCCTCATACCCACATCAAAATTTGAGATTCTCTTGATGAGATTGAAGTCATCCTGGATGGACTTGATGCCCACACATACGGCACAGTCACCAGAGTTCATAGCATCAGTACAAGATGCCAATGCAAGAAGAATGGCCGCGCACCAGCAAGCCGCTGGTACACGAGCACCGCCTCCAGATCTGCTGCAAATCGACAATCCAGAAGTACTCAGGCAGTACCTTACCGGCATGCAGACAAGGCGCAGGGACGCATTTCCCCTCAGCGACAACCTCATTGCACAATTTTTCATGACCCAGAGTGAATTGTCAGATCAGCAGAGAGAAAGACTGATCAGTGCAATGTCATTGAGAAACATCTCGCTTGAGAACTACACCTACGAGATGATGAAAACGCAGTACCATGACCTCTTCATCATGACCAGAACATCCATCCAAGATCCATCCATCCGACCTCCAGGAGGAAATCGGAGCAGGATCCCTACGACCAGGCAATGGGGAAAAGGCAAATGAAAGAAGGGAAAGAAAGGAAAATCTAAATTCCAATCTCCCTATGATGGAAACAAAGGTTATCCATCAATTGAGCCAGATCCTGCAACGCCATCCAAGGAAGAACCCACGTCACTACCGCTTGCCTTAGGCAGAATTCATCAGCGATTGTCCAAACCAGGAGAGCTGAAAAGGCTCCACCTTCAGCATCATCATATGACTACAGACCAATTTCGATTCAGGACTCGTGCGCTTCACTTGCCGAAATCAATCTACGATCTATTTGACAAGATCCGAAGTGAATGTGAAGTTTGCCAAGCAGCAAAACATGCACCATCACATCACGAAGCAAGACAAAGTGGACTTTGAGCGGACACATTCGGAGACATGACATTCATGAAGCAAAGGAGGAATATGGCTAAAAGGAAGAGGCAATTCCTTGGAAGGAGCAATGGTTGGACTTGATCTTGGAACAGGACTCATCAAGGTCAACATGACGAAAGTCAGAAAGGATGAAAGCATCCCTCCGGGGAAACCTGGAATTGATCTCTTACTGCCTGATGAGAAAAATCCTTGCAGAAAGAACAAGGAGGTTCTTCAACCGCTTCCAGGAAGAAGGGATCATCCGTTCCAACTCCGAAGCCAGCATCCTCACGACCATTACGCATTGCTGGAAAATCAAGTCCCTAACCTGCAGCATCAAGACCTGCAAAGAACATGTTCGCGGAAGATATGACATCCATTCCTGAACAAGCACATTGGACTTGTGTACGTAAAGGAAAGATCCACGTTCTCGAGATCTTTGCAGGGAGTGCCAGATTCAGTCAATGCTGTGCACTCACCGGTTTGAAGGTTGGAACACCAGTTGACATCCGCAACGGATTTGACGTAATGACATCCAAGGACGACACATGGTCATGGAGATCATGAAGGAGCAAGCGCCTGATCTCATCCTCATGGCGCCAGTCTGTGGACCATGGTCAAACATGCAGAACATCCAACAAGACCAACAGAAGGTCTGGGAAAAGCGACAGCGATATCCGTCGCGCAATATCAGCTGAGGCACAGAAGATATTTCGTCGAAAATCCCCAAACATCCAGGATCTGGTATTTGCATTGCCTGCAGCAACTCTTTTCAGACCCATCCGTAACTTGGGGAGACTTCCATTTCTGCGCGCACGGACTGAAAGATCCTGAATCCGGACTCAGATGTCTCAAGCCAACAAGCTTGATGCACTGCTTACCTCCGAGGTAATGAGACCGCATCAACCCCTTGAGGGAAATGCCGGCACTTTCCGGAAGCAGAACCAAACTAGCGCAGGTATATCCTTACCAGTTCTGCCAGGGTCTCGCGCACATCATCATGCGTCACCTGAAGGTGAAACCGCTTGACAATGAAGTGTACCTGCTCGAGCACATCTTCGAGCCGTTCACCGACGAGCAGGTTGATATTCTTCGAAAGGAGATGGCTGCCATCGACAAGGAGTTCAAGACTAGCAGCAGCACCGCTGTTAGAATCCAGGACCTCCCGTTCAACAAGAATGTTCCGCCGATGACTGGCGATGTCAGTACATGTTGAATGGTTGCAAGAAGTTGCGGCAATTGTGCATCTCATCCACACAATACGATGCATGCACGGCATACGCCCACGCGATTGGCATCAACATGCCTATCAACTCACCTCCGGACGATGCCATCATAGCCTTTTGGCAACCAGATCAGCTGAACGGAATTTGGGTCTTGCCCGCATCCAAGTGCAATTGGGAGAGCTACAATCCGAAGACGTGGCATGCAGTGATGTACTCATCAGTCCATCACTCATTCTCAGATGCGCCGGCTATCAAGCCGATGCCCGTCGAGGTAGATCCTATAGATCCGACGAATTCACCTCGACCTTCTGACACCCAGCAGCCTCCTGATCAACCGGACCATCCCATGCCTGATCCAAGACCTCCAACTCCACCTGTCCACCTGTCAGACCCTCCTCCAGATCCTCCACATCAGCCTGATCAGAATGATCGACCCGATCATCCCATGCCGCCAGCCAGCAGGTGTATCACCAGACAGTCCAGTAGATCCGCCGCTGCCGCCGCGTGACAAGCCAGGCGCAGTCAAACGGCAAAAGCAGTCAATATCGTCCTCAAGTGGACCCAATCGACTGGGGGGTGATGTTACTTTGCCGTCTCAGTCGCAACCATCTCAACCGATTCTTCCGACTGTCGCGGTGCCTTCACCATTCGCAATTCTGACGAGTCCCGAAGCAGAAAACGATGATGAAGAGCTTGAACTGCCCAACTTGAGCAGCAAGAAACAACTGCACCTCCTGCGCAGAGCAGTTCATCCAAAAAGCAGAAGACAGGAAAGAAGAAGAAGCCAGGTGACAATCCGGACGACGAAGATTCGCCTAGGTCATCTCCCAGGAATGAGCCTGCAGCTTCATCCAACTTCAACCCGAACAATCAACTCAACTTGCCGATGCAATTCGACAGTGAGGAAGAACTACTCCCTCACGTTCCAACTTCATCGAAGAAGATGAATCAGAAGACTCTCAGAGGACGAGGCAGTACGACGATCAGGAAGCCGACCTTGTTCTTGATGAGGCACATTGGTCACTCATGACATCCGATCAGAAGATCTGTGCCAACACTGGATCCTTCACGGTTCCGAGAGAAGGAAAGCCTGTCCTTCTTGGACGCGTGAAAGGGACCTTCAAACCATCTAACAGATGTGGATTCTCTCATCAAAATACACAGACAAGGATCACGTGGACCGGCTTTGCAAGAACATGACAGACGATGACCGAGCACTCTTGGTATTGTACTCATCCAAGCAAGAATCCTTGAAGGCTTCATCCACATCCGCACTTATCGGCAAGAAGCGGAAGGAAGCAACAGCTACTGAGACAAAAGCTTACCAGAAGCAATTCCTTGAAGCTAAACACCTCGAGCGCAAATCTTGGCTTGACAATGAGTGTTCGACTTAGGCGACACACGAAAGATTCAGGTCAGGAATTGGGTCACCGGTCGCTGGGTTCTTACCCTGAAGCGAGACAAAGACGGGAACTTCCTGAAGACGAAAGCCCGATGGGTCCTCCGGCGTTTTCAAGACAAGCAGAGAACGATCAGCTGGCTTCCGCCTTGCAATCCAAGCGCCGCAAATAAGGGCTGGAATATATTTCACATGGACCTGAAGACAGCATTCCTTCAAGGCGAAGCATACGATCAGATTTTTGACATTATTTGTCAGATCCCTCCTGAAATGGAATATCCGCCACACATCGGTGCGCATGAAGAAGCCTGCTTATGGGCTGAATGACGCACCACGCAGATGGTGGAACATCCTAGATTCGGCACTCCGTTCATACGGATTAGTGCCAACGCGAGCAGATCGTTGTACATATGTTGACTATGGTAAACAGAATCCACACCGATCAGTGAAAAGAAGTCATCCAGTACTTTCGATCCTGAAGGAGCTGTTGATTACCTCATGGACCCCGTTTCCGGTAACAACGCCAAGAATCGACAAGTTCATGGAGCACTTTCTCTTCATGTAGATTCTTATGA